TTTTGACGGGAATGGGTCAGGCTAATGAGCGTGTTGGGGACCGTAGGATTGAACAAGATGGACGGCTTCGATTGAAACTCCTATACGGCGTCGTTTGGTTTTAAAATGGAAGTTGAATTGGACTGTTGGATATGTTTGATCAACGGTCCAGATCCGATAGGCCTTAAACGACGTCGTTTGGTGAGGCTATAGAGATCAGGGAAACGGACTGGGTCATGAAATGATTTGGGCCTGATTTTTGGTCTCAAATTTGAGTCCAAATCCGGATTTTTCTCCAATTTAAACTCTTTTCTTTTCCTTCTTTTAATTTCTATTTTAAACAAAATTCCTAACTAAGTTGTAAAATCAAAAATAAAACTTATACAAATATTAATTACTACTTAAACAACAATTATCACACACATTAAACATTTTAGTAAAATCACTCAATGACAACAAAAATAGAATAAAAGATGCATATTTTTTGTGATTTTTCCTTAAAACCAAATTATGGTTTGATTAATTCCTAATAGTAGAACGATATCCTAAACTTACATGCGACATATATTTTTTATATTTTTATTTGACAAAACTAAAACAATCACAGACAAAACTACAAACAACTACCAAAAATGCCACGTAAATTCCAAAAAAATTGTACAACAAAACCATTTGTTTTTATTTTTCGATTTCTTTTGGAGCAATTGTAGCGTAGACAAAAATCACGTGCTCACAACACTCAGTATCAAATTCTCCAAAAATACACTACTTTAGAGGATTAATACACATTTAGTAATATTTTAAAAAAGTCCGACCAACCAGGGGCGGATTTAGGAGGGCGGAAGGAGTTATTCAAACCCCCTTTATTAAAAAAATACACTGTATATAAGATAAAATCTATTTTTTTATCTTTATATATTAAGTTTTGAACCCTTTAACACAATTCAAAAATGTAGTTTAGTGGTCAAGGGGGTTCAAAACTTTCATAAAGTCATAGGTTCAATTCCCACTAGCTACAAAAAAAAAATTGAACCTCCTTCGTAAAAATTCTGCCTCCACCACTATCAGGTCGGATATGAATGTATCAAAAATAAATAATGCAAAAACGAATAAATTATCCAACCTGACCCATATTTAATACGATAAAATAGATTAACCTGCAAATAATTTGAATATCCATATTACCCATGATTAGGGATGTTCAAATGAAACCAACAAACCGCACCAACCCGATAATCCGAGTAAAACCGAGAAAACCCCAAATTGTTTGGTTTGATTTGGATTGGAATTGAAAAAAAAAACGACCATATTTGATTTGGTTTGATTTAACTAAAAAAAGTCAAACCGAAACCAAACCAACCCGATATTATATGTATAAAAGTTTTAAATATATTTAATACATAAAAATATTTATCGTAGTGTATTTTATAAATACTTTTTATGCTTTTTCATAATTTTATTTTAACGTATTATTTCAAGCTTGGGCTTATAATTTTTGGATCTCCAATAAATTTTATATCCATAAATGTTAGTAACTCAAATAAATCCTAAACCTAAATCAAATCAATACTAATGCTAATAAAAAACATCCAATTCAATTGTACTATGAATGAAAATAGTGTTGGATACCTATTTTCTTAGTTTTTCCATGATTTAAATAAATGTATAACTTATTTTTCTTTTAGTGGTTAGTCATGTAAATAATAGTACTCATTAGTCCTAATTTTTAATTATGTTTGTTTTCATTATGGCTTACAAATAATATTTGTTTTATGCGATATTATTTTTATTGTTGAATATTTTAGTACAATGTCATGACTCATGTTATATTTATGTTATTTTATTGAAAAATACCTTATATAGTTCTGTCTTATTAGGATTAAAGAAATATTGAAGCACAAATTTTACGTTTTATGCTGTGAAGAGTACTTTACGAAAAAAAAATGAAAAAAACCCGAAAACCCCAAAAACCTGGAAAAAAAAAAACCGAGATTAAATGAACCCGACTTTTATTAGTTTAATTTGGTATTTAAATTTAATAACCTGATACAATTGATTTGATTTAATTTTGTTTGATTAGATTTGGTAATTAAATAAAACCAAACCGAACCAACTCAACCTATGTATACCCCTACTCATAATGAAAATTTCTAATCTCCCAGATTTGAGAAACTTTCAATTTGAATATTTGAAAATATAAAAGTTAGAACTCATTAATTATTCATTGTATATAAAGCGGATAATATAAATCTTATCCATATTTGAACTCATTTTAAAAAGTTCTATTATCCAACCAATTTTTAATAGATAATATAGATAAATAACTATCTTTTTTATCAACCACTATACCTATATATTCCAATGATGCTAGTGCTAAATGGTGCTAGTGTTACTACTAGGCGTTGTGACAATATGTAAAGTTAGTAAAATAGAAAAAATATATCTCCTGTAAGCTCAAATACATTTGGACACATTCTATTTAGGCAAAAAATTTTGAGACTGGGATATTATAAGTGTAATCAATATTTTACTTGTCAATATTTAAAATACTGCTGAAAACAAATATATTTAAAAGACTGCTATAACAAAACACTGTATTAGTCGGTATGTCCACCAACTTGTATAGACTCGCTTTAAGTGACGAAAAAATGCAGTGAATATGTAGAGAAATGTTATAGCTCTCTGGGTACAACTGCAGAATACACGGGAATAACTACTTCAGCCAAAAATAGACTTGGCGCTCGACGCGCAGCACATTGTTTAGTGCAACTAAAACCTGCATAAGTCATCTGATGGAGGGGCGGAGCTAGAGTGCCGCTCCTGTATTTGCATTAAAAATTCTATTGAATATATATAAATTATTAATTTAGAACCTAGTAACTTCAAATTATTAGAATTCCGAACCCATAAACTTGAGATCCCGACTCCGCTTCTGATATGATGCATATCATATTGATCTATAAACTTCTACTGTTATTCCAGAACACTATGTAATACACATATACATGTATGTGTTACAAACGATGAAAGTATTACACATGTATACATGAAAAAAAACCACTTTCATTTACTATATTTTTATCTGACATAGGTAAATTATTCATTTCTAGTGATGAAGCCTCTTCAGTATGCCCTGCGATAACACAACATGAACACAATTTGCCAAGAAATCAAAAAAACAGAATGAACACGAGCCTATACATTAAAGCGCAGGCAAAGAAAAACACGACGCATCAGACGGATAACTTAGTGAAGCAAAGGAACAAACCAGGATCACCGCGATATCCAAAGTTATGAATCAGGGTCGATTTTGTCTACAATATCAACAGGAACAACTGGAATAGAGTCCCACCACTCTTGTAATCTCCTATTTCCTTTTTCATTTTGCTTTTTGCTTTTTCCTATCTTTGATGATGCTACAAAGCCATACGATGCCAGAGCCATAAGAATAAACTTAAAAGGAACCACTGCTAAAATCACAGCAGCGACGACCAACGCTACCATTACCATATCCGCATGCTGCAGTTACCTATAAAGTTAGTAAAGGACAGAGTGTGTTGAAACATAACAAAGGGCGAAAACCAATATATAGAGTTACCTTTGGAGCTTTCGAAACCAATACTGACCAAATTTTCAGTATAATTATATTCGTCGTTTGGATCAAGTCGTAGACACTTCTCAATCCCTGTTGCGCCGACACTATGCTTTCCATGGTTGTCTGATCGGATCCGGTGTAGACAACTATTCTATGGACCTTATCTGGTATCCTTCTTCGTCTAGCCCATATCATTGTAGCGACAATTCCCAATAAAAGACCTGCTAACACTTTGCCAACCCACTCTCTACATAATAAGCATCCGTTAGTTCTTTTTGGTACTCACTAAACAACTGAAGTTCAGTGTTTGACATCAAATACAGACAAGTAATTTACAGCAGGGAAGGAGAAACTCACTTGTAAATAACTACCATCGTCGTCACCACGAGAATGGAACTGTATAATGGCCTTTCCCATGTAAAAGCCTCTTGAACATAGGGAACTAACTTTTTAAGTGGTTTGAGGAGACCCTAGGGAAAGATAAAATAACCAAATTTCTTTAGCGTAAGTGATATGCATAAAGGTACATACACATGGGCGAAGATACATGATCAGATTGACCACCCTTCGTCGAAAAATTACTCTATGTATATAGATAAAATAATCGATTTTAGAGGTATATAACATATATATATATATATGGAATATCCTTTGCCGGAGAAATTTTTTCACTTCTTTCAAGTTTAAGATTGAATCCTGGAGAAAATTCCTGGCTTCGTCGCTATACATACACATTGAGAGAGATCTTCAATTAAGATTAAGCACCGCATGCTACTAACAAACAAGGGTTCTAAAGCTCTAAATGCTGGCTATTAATCCACATTTTTTTCCATTTGTTTAACTTTGATTCATTTCCAGAAATGATAAATATGTATTTTCCTAAAAAAAAAAAAGGAGTAGCAACCTACCATAAGAACCTGGACGCTATTGCCGATTCCTTCCTCTTTCAGCTCCTCAACTGTAGCTTTAGCCAATTCAATTTCCTTTGCTTCCTCCCTCGATTGCTCAATAGCACTCTCCAATGGAGAGACATTGTCGACTTGCAAAGGGGAAGTGATGCTGTCATTGATTTCCTTACCCCTGACGTTGTCATTGATTTCTTTTACCTCTACAGTGGGAACAAACAGTTGGGCGACATTCAGGCTCCTCAAGATCGAGCTAGCACTACACGGGTGTCCGGTGTCAACTTTCTTTAGACTCTCCGCAAGCTCTTTAAGCACATAATCTCCCTTTGGCAACTCATCGAGCAAGTCGAAAATTAGGAAATTCTTGGGAACTGGAGGTGATATCCTAAGCATTTCTCTGGCTGCATGTAGCCTGATAATTCCAAGTATTGTTCTCGCATGCATCTCCCACGACTCCAATGGTGAGTCCACTTTGAACTTTTGTAAAAACCTATGCAATAGTATAATTTCCTTCACAAGAGAAAGCCAGTGGTCGCGTCTTGTTGAGCTCGTCATTTCTGGAAATTCAAAGACAACCCCTTCTTGCCTAATTGGAAAACACAAGTCATAATAAGATCTCTTGCCTATTTTCCATTGTCATGCATGCAAGATTATGAAAAAGCCGTGTGAGCAGCCTACTATTTGCGAAATGTACTAAGTGCATATATAACCGGTTCAATCATATTTAGAAAGCATTAAGAGTACTTACAGTTCAGAAGATTCATAAACTATAGCTTTGTCGAAGAGAGGAGCGCCCCATGGACCCGTGGCGGCTGGCTTGACAGTTTGCTCAGTGTCTTTAGAAAGGTTAAGCTTAATGGCATCTTTATAAGAGAGAACACCAGATGCCTCAAAGTAGAGGGCATAGTTTGTTAGTGTCAGCCTACCTAGAAAAAGAAGTCGGTTAGCGACTATAGCTAGCTTAGAATCCGAGGCCGTGTGACAACATAAACCAAAACAAAAGACAAGAAGTACCAGGCCAACTAGTGCCTCCAATATGGCGCACTACTCTTTGTGAGGTTGCAGTTCCTTCGACGTGTAGTATAAACTCATCGTCTGCCATTTCCATGCCTGTTGGGGTTGTTTGTTTTTGCAAATGCTTCACACATCTGATTAATGCAAGTCAACGTACAATCTCTCGGTCAATGAATGAACTATGCCCCAACCACAAACTATTCGGGTAAATCCCGAGAAAGTAGAATCACAACAAGAAAAGATCAGCCACGGAATTGAACTTTTGACTTAGAACGAGAACGACCTTCAAGACAAGGTGACAATTTAAGAAGCAGGGCATTCTATCAACTAAAGAAAAAAATCTTTAATTACTCCATTATAGTTTTCTTCCAAGAAAGAAAAGCGAGACATGAGAATTACTTTTCAATCTCTTTCAGGAACAAGTCATAAGCAGGAAAATGAAGACGATTTTCTGTAGCTGCTGTCAGCGTCTCGAAAGTAAATCGTCCATTAACAATATCAGCTACTAAATGTACAAGTGTTCCCAGCCACAAGAATGCATCCTCTCCAACACTTGGCTTATTGTCAACCTGTCAACACAGTAACTCCAAATTAAAAGATGAAAATGTACTGTAAGAATCAAGGACAACGTGAATATTTCGTGTAAGTAGCTATTTCCTTTTCATTTTTCTTACTGTCATCTTGAATTGAGTGGTACACAGAGGGAATGCAAATCACTTATCAGGAAGTGAGTAAAAGACGGCAAACCAGGGAAATAGTTGAAGAAACAATTGTTCAGAATTCCTACTCTTAAGTTGAGTAGCATATATAATGTGACAAAAGCCGATTCCAAGTTAAGATAGAGATTCCTTACAAGGAGCGGCATGACGTCTGAGTAGAACAAAGGAATGTCATCTTGTTCTTGAGGCATTTTACAAGTTACTTTCCTCTCTTCTTTTTCTTTGGACATGCATTCCTGTATTATGAAGGAAAAACATACGACATAATTAGCACACTTCATCAGGAAAAGAAAGCATCGCAAACTTTTAACTGGAATGGCAGAATGCAAGACGTAACCCCTTCTCGTTCGCTTTCCTCAAAATCAGAATCATGAGAGAAATATGGATTAAGATTCTCAATAGACCAAGGAATGTAGCAGCACCTACTATAAAATCGTATTTACAGGGTGCACCCGGCAAAATGCTAAGAACCTCTTCATGGAAATAGGGTCACAAATTCTTTAATTTCCTCAACTTATAGAGAAATGCCAGAAGAATAAATCTACTTTTAATAATGCAGCCCATATTTTCCTCAGGATTGGTGTGGATGCTAGGAGGAAGCTTCCTATAAGTTGGTGTGGATGCCAATTGTAATTGGGAACTCTCCCCATCCTTTGTTAATATTAAAAAGGCAACTGTTCTCTGGTGGACGTAGGATTATTTTGATCCGAACCACGTTAAATCTTGTGTTCTTTCTTTTATGTTTCCGCTAACAATTGGTATCAGAGCAACAGGATTCTTTAACGATCCAAGGAGGAAGAACAAGCAAAGATGAGTTCCATAAAGTTTGAAATTGATAGATTCAGTGGACGCAACAACTTCAATATCTGGAAGATCCAGATGATGGCGTTACTGCGGAGGGAAGGTTCAATCCATGCTATTGA